CCAAAACCCCAAAACCCCAAAACCCCAAAACCCCAAAACCCCGGTGCCGCCCAAGCGCATAGAATTCCTTCTAAAAAAGTTTTTAATAAAATTCATCTTCAGAATCCTGGTCATCTTGGGAATTTGACACTAGAGATTGAGATTAGTAGAGGAAGAGAAGGGGGCTTACGCTCGAAGATGTCCTTATCTTTCTTAATAGACTCGAAGAGTTTCTCTCTGCTGGAACGGTCAAAGTCTATCTCTTCACCTGGGTTGTCGTCGATGACCATGTTTCTGAGTAAAAGAGATTTTTTGAAAATTTCAAGATTGAACACTTGGGGGCAAAGTTTCATGTGATTGAAGTAATCAGTGATCCTTCCCTTGGCGATATCGGAGTCTGTCTGGTCTGAAGGGATGAAATTTGGGGGCTTACCTCCGTCCTTGGAGAGGTTTGGGAGCTCTGGGAGACATGAAATATCTACTTTGTTTGTACTGGAATGAAGTTTTAGGTCAAGGTGGAATTCCTTCAAAATTTCATAAGTCAGATTGATCTTTAACTTTACCGCCTTCATTGTGGTTAAATTACTAGCACTCTTAGTTAGAGCATCTTCGTTTCCTAGTAAAGACTTTGATTCTTCATCTCGACAAGCATTATTTTCTTCAAAGTAACTATCATCACTTGTCTGTCTGTATATCGACATAATGATTTCAAAATAAGCTTCGACCATTTCAGAATTACTAAACTTGTAACTTGTTGAGGCAATACTAGCCTCTACCATTTCAATATTCAAATTGTTAATTGCCCTACTCCACTTAGACTTTCTTGGACTTGCTTTTAAGTACAAGAAATCTCTATGATTTTTCTCTAAGTCATTATCTGAGTCATCATAAAGATTTTGCTCCAGTTCAACCTCTTCCTTTGCAACGCTAAAAGATGAATTAGAGGATGTCTTATGGGTCCTAAAAATTAATGAATCCCGTGATAGAGCATACCTGAAACTATAGTCAGAATTACTAGTTTCAAGAGGTAATTCCATTGGGTTCCCTCGCTTCACTTCTTCATCAGGATTGTCTCCCTTACTTCTTCTCTGTAGATGCTCAGCTCGCTTTTGAAGGTAGACTGCTTGGTCAGATCCTTTATCAATGCCTAAAAAGATCAAAACATCTCTGGTCCAAAGCTCAGGGGTCTCAGATAGCATCTGGAGAAACTTTTCAACACTCCTCAGTCTTTTATTATAAATCTCTGTGCTTTCAGATCTGTATGAGATCCGTGGCCTCTCAATAGCTGGGATGGGATTCTTGAAATTTTTACTAGATTTCTCAATATATCTGCTAATATAGTCCTCTATTCTGAGGAGTTCTTTGAGGCTTTTCTTCACCTATAAAACCATATTATTAGAATTCTTACCTTCTTATGAACTTTTCCAGCAGTAACTTTGAATTTAATATCATTTTTCTTATTGATGTTGTACTCAAGAACGATATTGATTACTCCAATCTCAGTCTGACGTACTAGGACATTGTCGCTACTTCGGTTTAGAGGAGAATTTAGCTCCTCGAGTCTTCGAAGTCTGAAAGATTTTGTTTTGAGCATTAAAGCTACTGAAATCCATGAAAAAACCACTTCTAGGCATCCAAATGTGTATGCGATATAATCATTATCATCATAAATTCTTTTCGAGAAGCTGATCAACACAAATGCGGTCACAAAAAAGCAATTTGTAGCCCAGAAGAACCTATGGCAATACCATACCTGCAGAAGATGTCTTTCATGCTCTATGGTCATTAAGTATCCAAGAGAGATCCAGATAGCTGCAAAAATTAGATAGAAAAGGGAGAACCACTTATCTGAGCCATCATTTCCTCCAAGAAGGCCACTTTTTATACCTCAGAAAGCTAATATAATAGGCACAATGTAGAGAACTCCAATGAGATAGGAGATAAACAGTTTGGCTTTCATTAGTCTTGAATATCTCATGTCCACTGCACAAATAATAGCATCCTTCCTTATAGCCAAGTATCTAATAAGAGCCAGAATAATGGTAATATAGCAAGGAATAGCTTTATAGATGATTCCAAAGAACAGCCTTTGATGGAATATTATAGGGTCATTCTCTTCTGACATTTTTATTAATTTTTATAGACTAAAGGGGTTTTGGGGTTTTGGGGTTTTGGGGTTTTGGGGTTTTGGGG